ATACATAACTAGAGGGCACTCAGAGACTGCATACCTCCGCCCGTTACTCGGAAGTGAAAGGCAACCTTGGAATTTCCTAAGAAATCCACTTTACAATTCTTAAGCATAAAAGATTTCAGGCCCCCGCGAATTGAAATCGAATTGCTAATAGAACATATTACTGTTGTTGTGCTGTACAGTACTTGTAAAATAAAAACTTATTAAGTGTCATTAAATAAATGCATAAATTTTGCTTTATGCACTCGCGCGTGCAGTAATTTTCACATTTGTGCTATTTTAAATTCCCAGGCAGCTAAAATCTTTTGTCTTTAAAACAATGTCGATTTCTTGGGAAATTCCGAGGTTGCGTTCTTTTTATACACCCTGTATTGAAGTAATCTAATGTTGTTAGAATTTAAATGGACTGGCACTTTGCTGAACGTAATAATGCGTAACTCCGTAAGCCTTGTTTTAGACATTGAATTTCGGTCGCGTGAAATGCAACTAAGACAATAGATAATGAAGGCCGAAGCTTAATGAGGTTTATCATCTCATTACTGTCTTAGCACTGAGTGCATAAATTATACATGTCCTAATTACGCATTCAGTAATATTTTTTGTTAATTGACCGGGAAAAGCAAGACAAAATTTTGTTCATTTCTCGTTCAATTTTTAACCAAATTCAACCAAATTTTAATCAGTTCTTCCTTCGCCGATGGGAAATGCATTCAAAAAATTTCGTACGGATATGTTTGGTATTTCTTGAGTTATCGTGCTCACAGACAAACACACACACACACACATACACACATACACACACACATACACATACACACACACACACACACACACACACACACACACACACACACACACACACACACATACAAACCCAGATGATTACATAACCTCCTGGCGGAGGTAATTAAATAGATAATAGTACATACAGTACATACATACATATATAATAGTAAATATTAATAGATTAAATAGTCAAGGTAAATATGGGTTTGAAAACTCTAATTAGTAGCCAGGTGTCATACGTTTTTATTGAATATAGCTAGTGATTCTTTTCCTCTTAATTCATTTGGGAGACTATTCCGCAGTTTCGCCCCTCTATAGCTAAGACTTTTTTTAAGATATTCAGTCTTAGGCTTGGGCAAATGGAGTTTAGTGGAAGAGCCCCGCAAATTGTAGTGCTGGGAGGAAGACGTCTTTTGAAAAATATCAGTAAGTCGTAAGGGCGCTAGATCATGAGTAATTTTATACATAAGACTTGCCACAAACTGAGTACTGCGTTTGCTCAGAGGCTTCCAGTTTAATTCATTTAGAGCAAGTTCAGATTGACCATGTTCATTTTTACGACCCACGATAGCTCTAGCAGCCCTATTTTGTAATTTCTGGAGACGATCAGAAAGTGTGGTACCAATGGTGTCCCATACTTCGCAACAGTAATCAAGGTGAGGCAAAACAAGTGCATTATAGGCACAAATTAATG